GCCCAGAAGGCCAAGCTGGAGTCAGAGCTGAAGGTGGCCTTGGAGCAGCGGGTGACGGAGCGCCTGGCCGAGGTTCACGAGGACAGCCTGCGCCAAATGAGCGCCATGCGGGAACAGCACAGGTGGAAGGACGGGGGGCGGTCCCTCTCCCCCTTTGCCCCTCCCCACGTCTCTTTCCCCGCCCCTTCTTGGCTTTGATTGGCGGTTCACGTGTTTTTTTTGAAACCGTCTTGGTTTCAAACTCTCTCTCCCCTGCTCAGATTTGGCTTTTATTTTTTATTTTATTCTCCTCCTCCTCCTCCTGGGGATTTTAAGAGGTGGGCTTATTTTTTCCCCTCCAAAATCCAGGTTCCTGGAAGGGTCTCCCGTTTCTGAACTGAGTAGGTGGGCTACCCAGTCTCTCTCTTCCCTTCCCTTTTCTCCCTGCAGTTTCCCCCCCCCCTGCCCACCTTAACATTGTGAAACTTGAATTTTGCACTTGTGCTTCATCCACAATTCGAAGAGGGGGGGGGACTGCAGGCGTGAGCAGACCACGCGGCGGCCTCTCCTGCTGTTGCTTGGGAGCGTTTGTCAGTTGCGGTTCAAAGCCATGATTCCCCTCTCCCCTCCTTAACTATTAGGGGAGTAGAAATGTGTTTTGCAGAACGACGAATAAAATCCGTGTCTAAAGGAGCATTTCTCAACCTGGGGATACCTTTGAAATAATTTTCGGGTCTTGGAAAAGCCCTGCATAAAAATGGGGAAAAGTGACTTTAAACAAAGATTGGACAAACCATTTGTCTAGGATGATATGAGATCTCCAAGGTCCCTCTGGCCTTATGATCTGTCTGTCTCTGTCTGTCTGTCTATCTATCTATCTCTAACTAGTATATATATCTACATCTATATCTATCTATCTATCTATCTATCTATCTATCTATCTATCTATCTATCTATCTATCTATCTATCATCTATCTATCTATCTATCTATCTATCTATCTATCTATCTATCTATCTATCTATCTATCTATCTATCTATCTATCTATCTACCTATCTATCTATCTCTAGTATATCTCATCTCTCTCTCTCTCTCTCTCTCTCTCTCTCTCTCTCTCTCTCTCTCTCTCTCTCTCTCCCCTCCCTTCCTCCCTCCCTCCCTCCCTCTCTCTCTCTCCTGCTGTACAATTCCTTTCTAACTTTAATCTACATTTTATGACTTTTGCAACAGCAAAGTGGCAGACCAGCACTTCAGTTGTGGTGTAGGAGAATCCCACAGCGACCGTTCCATTGAACAGAGGGTGAAATTAAAAAAAGCAAGGCTTATTTTTTTTTTCCAATGATGACTTTTCCTGAAAGTCCAGTTGAGGAACTCTAAAGAGAATGCCTTTCCCAAATTCAAACGTCTGGCCAGTTCTCTGGCTTCAGATCAAAAACCTCCTTTTATTTCCCCCCCAAAAGGAGTTGAGGTGTCTTATTCTCCTTCAACCAAATGAATCGACCATTTATTATTTTCTCCCCATCCACTTATCACCCAGATGGCCTTAAATATCCCGTTTTAACATCGCCCAAAATATTCAAATTTTCACAATCCAAATGCTCTTTTTCTCGCATTGATTCATCCGTCTGTGGCCGTTGATTTGGGGTTAATCTAAAGGCTTTAGGGAAGAGCCGAGGGCGATTCAAAACTGTATTTAAAGTATTTATTCCCTAATCTACCCAGCTGCATTTGGACAGACGCGCAGAGGCCTGTTAAAAAACGAGAAATCCACGCTCTGTGGTTGACGGCTTAAGAAAATACCAATGATAATTTGAGAATTTACAAGGCAGCTTTGCTCCTTGGTGCCTGCTAAAGCTCCTTTTTTTTAATTATTATTATTATTATTATTATTATTATTATTATTATTATTATTATTATTATTATTATTATTATTATTATTATTAATCTTTTATCTCGCACAACAAAACGCAGAGAATACCCACTGGGCAATCAAAGGTTTAAATTTAAAAATCTCCTTTCGAGCGAGGGAAAAAAACGTTCCTTATTTTTACAGTACAGGCAGTCCTTGACTTACAGCGTTTCATTTAGCGACCGTTCACAGTTACAACGGCGCTGGAATAAAGTGACCCTTTTGCGACCGTCAGACAAGCCAAGTCCATGGGGGGAAAAGCCAAACTCACTTAACAACCGGGTTATTACTAACTCAACAGCTGCAGCAAACCGCTGAATAATTAGAGCAAGAAAGGTCGTTAAAACGGGGCAAAATTCACTTAACAAATGTTTCGCTTAGCGACTTGAATTTTGTGGTCGTAACTTGAGGATTGCCCGGAGGCATTTTCTACTTCTTTTGGAAGATTGATTCTCTCTCGGCTCACTGCTGGCTGCTGGCTGGAGTTTGCAAGAGACGTCTGTTTTCTTGGTGGAAAAAAAAGATCTTTATTTTATTTTAATTTAATTTATTTTTCTTTTTTTCTTTTTTTTTGCAGGAAGCAGTTGCTGGAGCTCGGCGGCCACCACGAGAAAGAGTTGGCCAAACAGCTGGCTCAGTTCAAGGCGGATCTGGCCGAGAAGGAGGCCCAGCAGAAGCACCTCGCTGAGGACTATGAACATAGGTAGCCTTCCCAAAGTTTGCGGTGCCCCCCCCCCCCGAATCTCTTTACGGGTGGTGCTCAACTCACAACCGTTCCTTTAGGGACCGCTTGAAGTCACAACGGCACTGAAAAAAAGGGACTTATGACCGTGTTGAAACAAAAATCTTCATCGGGGTCCGGTCCAAGCCGGGAATAAACAAAATGGAGACTGCTTTAGAAAGAAGGTTGCAGTTTATTGAAGAGGAGAGCCAGACAGAATTCAAAATTCAGAATTCAGAATTTAGAATTCAGAATTTAGAATTCAGAATTCAGAATTCAGAATTCAGAATAGAATAGGGTTGGAAGGGACCTTGGAGGTCTTCTAGTCCAGTCCCCCGCTCAAGCAAGATGGCTCTGGGAAAAACCGGCCACATGTAGCAGGGAGTGGTGGGTTTTTATACCTTCTTGGGCTTTTGTTTGGAGTTGTTCCTGTGGTGTGGACTTGGACATGAGTCTGAGTCTGCCTTTGTGGTATTCTGACGGTGGTGGGTTAATCCTATTGTGTCCCAAAGGTCATCTCCTGCTTCCCTGGGGCTGTGGCTGATGGCTATGTCCTGTGTTGGACTTTTTGGTGTGAGGGATTGTTGATTCTAGGGATCTTTTGTTTTTCTAATCCCATCAGCTTCCTGGCTCCCATCTTTCTGACAAGATTATCACACCTGCATTTCTGCAGACCTGGTTTCTGTTTGGGGCAGAGATTTGTGTGTGTGTGTGTGTGTGTGTGTGGTTGGTTTCTGCCTTAAGATCCTTTGGGGAAATATAATATTCTGCCTTTTTAATATTTCCCAAAAATATTTCTTTCTCTGGATTCTTCCCACAACCGTTTTTTCACACTGACGGCCGTTGCGGCGATCCCCGCGGTCACGTGATCCAAATCCAGACGCTTTGGCAAACTGACCCCTATTTATGGCGCTCACAGCATCCCCTTTTGCGACCTTCTGACCGGCAAAGTCAACGTTTTTCTTTCCCCACCCCGGTGCCGTCGTGGCTTCGAACAGTCGCTAAGCGAACGGTCGTAAGTCGAGGACTGCTTGCGTTCGAAACCAGGGCTGCCGCATTCCCACCGGTTGATTTTTTTTGTTGTTTTTCACCCTTTCTCGCCCGCCAGGATCTCCAAGCAGCACGAAGAGTTGCGGGAGCTGAGGAGCAGGTACCGGCACCTGGAGGCTCAACGGGCCGAGATGGTCAGCCAGTTCCAAGCCATGATGCAGGCCCATTGGAACGAGGCCCTGCGGCTCTTCGCCAACAGCCGCGCCCCCCTGCAGCCCTCGCCCAAAGCCCCACGCCAGGTGAGAACCCCCCCCCCCCCGCATCGCCCCCGGAAAAAAGGTTGGGAGGTGGTCGAACCACGGGCCCCATCCAACAAAACGAGTTTCAAGGTGGAGCAAAGCAAAGTCTTACACTGAGGCAGGAAAAACCAAAGGAATACGGCGTCCAGTTTTGGTCACCACGATGTAAAAAAGATGCAGAGACTCTAGAAAGAGTGCAGAGAAGAGCAACAAAGATGATCAGGGGACTGGAGGCTGAAACATATAAGGAACGGTCGCAGGAATTGGGGATGTCTAGTTTAATGAAGAGAAGGACGAGGGGGGACAGGATAGCAGCCTTCCAGTATCTCAGGGGCTGCCCCAAAGAAGAGGGAGTCAAGCTATTTTCCAAAGCGCCTGAATGCAGGACAAGAGGCAACGGATGGAAACTCATCAAGGAGAGAAGCAACCTAGAACTAAGGAGAAACTTCCTGACAGTTAGAACAATTAACCAGTGGAACAACCTGCCACCAGAAGCTGTGGATGCTCCAACACTGGAAGTTTTTAAGAAGAGACTGGACAGCCATTTGTCTGAAATGGTATAGGGTTTCCTGCCTGAGCAGGGGGTTGGACTAGATTACTTCCAAGGTCCGTTCCAACTACTACTACTACTACTACTACTACTACTACTACTACTACTACTACTACTACTTCTTCTTCTTCTTCTTCTTCTAATTATTATTATTATTATTATTATTATTATTATTATTATTATTATTATTATTATTATTATTATTATTATTATTATTATTATTATTATTATTATTATTATTATTATTATAAACAGCAAGGGTGAGAGGGACCTTGGAGTCCTGGTGGATGATGGCTTGACCCTGAGCTAGCCGTGTGCAGCAGCAGCCAAAAAAGCTAACACAATCCTGGGTTGCATAAACAGAGGCAGAGAATCAAGATCACGCAAAGTATTAGCACCGCTTTGTAAAGCCCTAGTGAGGCCACACCTGGGCTCCTGCAGCCAGTTTTGGTCACCACATCACAAAAAAGAGGTTGAGAGTTTGGAAAAAAAATTCAGAGAAGAGCAACTAAGAGGATCCAAGGCCTGGAGACTAAAACAGACAAAGAACGGCTGCGGGACTTGGGTCTGGCTGTTCTAAAGAAAAGAAGAAATAGGGGAGACATGATAGCAGCGTTCCAGTATTTTGGGGGGCTGCCACAAAGAAGAGGGGGGGTCACGTTATTCAGCAGAGCACCAGAGGGAAGGGCGAGAAACAATGGATGGAAACTGATCAAGGAGAGAAGCAACCTGGAATTAAGGAGAAACTTCCTGACTGTGAGGACAATTAACCAGTGGAACAGCTTGCCACCAGAAGTCGTGGGTGCTCCATCACTGGAGATTTTTAAGAAGAGGCTAGACAGTCACTTGTCTGAGATGGTATAATTTCTCCTGCTTGAGCAGGGGGCTGGACTAGAAGACCTCCAAGGTCCCTTCCAGCTTCTATTCTATTCTATTCTATTCTATTCTATTCTATTCTATTCTATATTTTATTATTCTATTCTATATTATTATTCTACTCTATTCTATTCTATTATTCTATTCTATTCTATATTTTATTATTCTATTCTATATTTTATTATTCTATTCTATATTTTATTATTTTATTCTATTCTATTCTATTATTCTATTCTATTCTATTCTATATTTTATTATTCTATTCTGTTCTATATTCTCGTCTCGTCTCGTCCCGTCTCGTCTCGTCCCGTCTCGTCTCTAGTCCAGTCCAGTCTAGTCCAGTCTAGTCTAGTCCAGTAATCCTCGGCTTACAACCGTTTGTTTAGTGACCATTTGAACTTACACTGAAAAAAATGTGGCTTATGGCTGTTTTTCCACACTTAACGACCGTTGCATCCAGGGGCTGCTGGATCTGCCTTGGGAATACAGTTAATCCTTGATTTAGAAGAGTTTTTTTAGTGACTGTTCGAACTTACAACGGTCCTGAAAAAAGGGACTTATGATCCTGTTGCAGCTTCCCCGTGGTCATGTGATCAACATTCGCCTGGGGAATCCTGGGAGTTGATATCTATATATCTTAAAATTGTATCCTGGCTGGGGAATCCTGGGAGTTGATATCTATATATCTTAAAATTGTATCCTGGCTGGGGAATCCAGGTCTTAAAGTGGCCAAGGTCGGACGCCTCTGATTTAATTAAATGCAATTTTCCCCCCCGTCCCTTTTCCTTGATCTTGCAGGAGGCTGACGCAGACCCCCCCTCCGCGTCGGAATTTCTGCCCCCCTCCGAACCAGTGAAGAGGACCGCGAAGGGGGAGGCCCTCTGCAGCAATCCGGGCATGGGCGACTGCAAGGAGCTGGGGTGGGCCAAGGCGGTGCCACTGCAGCCGGTCCTCCAGCAGCAGACCCGGTTCCAAGGGGTCTCCGAAGGAGCCGAGAAGCGCCCGCGGGAGTCTTCCCGGCACTTTCTGCCCCTGGTGCCGGACGTGGGGCGCCTCTCCTCCGAATTCAGCCACATCCTCAACTCCAGCCTGCTCAGCCAGCAGGGCTTCCAGCAGCTGGACCCCCAGGTGGACACCACCGTTGCCGGAGCAGGTGCGTGGGCGCACGGAGGCCGGCCTTGGCAGAGGCTCCGCGAGGAGGTTCTGAGTTCTAGTCCCGCCCCGGATGGGTGGCTTTGGGCCAATCCCTTCCCCCTCCCTCTCTCTCTCTGTTTGCCCAACCTGCCTCACAGTGATGTTGTTGTGGGGGAAAATAGGAAAAGAAGAAAGGAATAGGAAAAGAAGAAAGGTGCTTTTGCTGCTTTTAATAATTTGTAAGAATAATAAAGGCAAGATACAAATGGATGGATGCATGGATAGATAGGTGATAGGTATAGGTAGATATGGTAGGTAGTTTAGGTAGGTAGGTAGGTAGGTAGGTAGGTAGATAGACAGACAGACAGACAGACAGATAATAGATAGAAATAGATGATATAGATGATAGATAAGTGATACATAATGATAGATGATAGAAGATAGAGATACTGATAGAGATAGATATTTAGATTGATATAGATAGATAGATAGATAGATAGATAGATAGATAGATAGATAGATAGATAGATAGATAGATAGATAGATAGAGGCAAATATGGTAAATAGACATATATGATAAATACAGAGATAGATATACTAGATATAGATAGATAGATAGATAGATAGATAGATAGATAAATAGATAGATGATAGATATAGGCAGATATGGTAGATAGATAGACAGATAGATTAATAGATAGTGATAGAAATAGATGATATAGATGATAGATAAATGAGAGATAATGAGAGATAATAGAAGATAGAGATAGTGATAGAGATAGTGATAGAGATAGATATTTAGATAGATAGAGATAAGTTAGATAGATAGATAGATAGATAGATAGATAGATAGATAGATAGATAGATAGATAGATAGATAGATAGATAGATAGACAGACAGACAGATAGATAGATAGATAGATGGATGATAGATATAGGCAAATATGGTAAATAGACAGACAGACAGATAGATGATAGATACAGAGATATGTTAGATAGATAGATATACTAGATATAGATAAATAGTCAGACAGACTGACTGACTGACTGACTGACTGACTGACTGACTGACTGATGACTGACTGACTGACTGTGTGGCTGAACCAAGATCTGAGTCTTCCCTTTCTTCCTTTTCTCTTCCTTCTTTCCCTTCTCCGTTTCCAGGTTTGAATTTCCACCCGGAAAACCTGGCCGAGCACCCCTTTGCGGACGAGAGGGACGACTCCAGCCCTGAGCGGGCAGGGAACGAGAGCTCACTCACTCAGCCCAGCACTGGGGAGAGCGGGGCGCAGGGCCCGCAGCCGGACCTGAACTACTACATGCGTCTGGTAAGGAGCCTTGTTCCTGCCTGCAGGAAAAGATGTGTGTGTGTGTGTGTGTGTGTGTGTGTGTAAGTAAGACCAGCTGGTTGGAAGTGCAGTGCAGTATCTAGAGCAGTGTTTCTCAACTTACCTGCCTGAGGTTACCTGCCTGAGCAGGGGGTTGGACTTGATGACCTCCAAGGTCCCTTCCAACATCATCATCATCATTATTATTATTGTTGTTGTTGTTGTTGTTAACTTCAGTGACTGTAAGACAGGGCTCTTCAAACTTGGCCCTTTGATGACTTGTGGACTTCAACTCCCAGAATTCCTCAGCCAGCGTGAGGGAACTATGAATTCTGGGAGTTGAAGTCCACGAGTCATCAAAGGGCCAATTTTGAAGAGCCCTGCTATAAGATGGGTCAATTCCAACTCCCAGAATACCTTGTAAGAACTGTGGACTACAACTCCCAGAATACCTTGTAAGGTATGTGAACTCCCAACTCCCAGAATTCCCCATCCAGCGTACAATTTGAAGATGGGTGGGCTTCAACTCCCAGAATCCCCCAGCCAGCAGCGCTTTCTGAGAGGAATTCCGAGAGAGTTGAAGTCCGCATATCTTCAAGTTGCCAAGACTGAGAATACAAGATTGGCTAGAAGGTGACCCAACTTCCTTCCAAAGCAAGTTTTCCAAGCTAAAAAGTCTCTCTTCCCTCCCTCAAAACTCAACTTCTCTCTCTCCTAAATGCTTATTTACCACTTTGGCTTTTTTTCCCCTTTTTTTTTTGTGGTTCTGATGGTTGACCTGGAGTGTGTGTGGGGGGTTTGTGGGGGAACTAAGGCCTTCCTCCTTAATCTCTTGTCCACCCCACCAGCTTCTGGGCCACTCCGACTTCGAAGGAAGCCCTCCGCGTCAGGAGACGTCTGCCACGGACAGCCCACCCCGTACCACGAATCGGACCCAGACCGGTGAGCCCCGTGACCCAGCCTCCCTCCTCCACTTTCCCATGACAGCTGCCCTTCCCTTGTCTTCTAGCCCAGCGGTCTTCAAACCTTGGTCCCTTTAAGACTTGTGGACTGCAACTCCCAGAATTCCTCAGCCAGCGTGAGGGAACTATGGCCCTTTGATGACTTGTGGACTTCAACTCCCAGAATTCCTCAGCCAGCGTGAGGGAACTATGACCCTTTTATGACTTGTGGACTTCAACTCCCAGAATTCCTCAGCCAGCGTGAGGGAACTATGACCCTTTGATGACTTGTGGACTTCAACTCCCAGAATTCCTCAGCCAGCGTGAGGGAACTGTGACCCTTTCATGACTGTGGACTTCAACTCCCAGAATTCCTCAGTCAGCGTGAGGGAACTGTGACCCTTTTCTGACTTGTGGACTTCAACTCCCAGAATTCCTC